TTTTTTAAAAATTATTTTAAAAAATATTTTTATGCTGGTGGTGGCAATAGTGCAAGTTGAGAAATAAACGCAGTATAGCCAGTGGCAAGGGAAGTAGGAGTGCTGCTCGGACTGGGTAACGAGCCTGTGAACACATGGAGGTACAAACCTTTCTGACCATCTGGTCGTCGTTGTCTTGTGGACTAAACAAACCCTGGCAGATTTCTTAAGATAGACATTTACTTTTTTATTTTTTCTTCTAACTCAGATAACCCAGAAATATCAGCTCCATGAAGCTTCTTCATATTTACTGGAGAAGAAGGGAGATATCCATGGTGCCTTTTTGGTTATGCTTGAGGTACAGTAAACTGAAATTCTAATTGTGGCATATTTGCTGTGCCCGCGTGGCATGATCTGCCATCAGCACGGTGGCCTACGATAAGGTTTGATACTGTCATTGCTTCTCAATTTGTTTCCCACTAGAATCCATTGAAGCATTTACCTTCTGTTAAATAACAGTATGTTGAGTTGTCTGCAGACTCAGCAGATCAGTATATTTTTCTGGCATGTCTTCAGACATCTAGTAGATAATAGATGCTGGAATTTGTTTTTCTTAATCAAAAATCATCTTTCAGCTCCTGTTTTCCTTTCTATATTTGGAAAGACATATATGCCATGTTAGTCATACTGGGGAATAAAATGAGGGTGAGCCTTTGTAACCATAAATGTTAAAAATGCTTCTATTGAGGTGCTGCAAGTTTACTGTTCTGACTTCTCTTCTGTTTCAGCGATTGCAGAGCAAGTTGCTGGTGCTTACACAAGATGATGAAAGTAAGAGTTATCAAACTAAATTTCTTTTTCTATTAAAAAGAGATAAACACAAAAACGTAAAGTGCCTATGTCTGACACCTAGCATAATTAGATCCTATTTCAGGTTTCTAGGTATTGTGGTGACTTTTAAAATATATATTTACATGGCTGTGGTAGTTATTTTGATGCCACTTCCTTACTCTGATCTTCCTAGAGATCTAGAACAAGCTGTGATGAATGTGCTTTTTGTGTGTGTGCTCAGCTGCCCTGTTAGCTTTTTTGATTGTGACTGGTACTCTTACTGGTTTATCAGACACACTTCATATGTTAGAATCCATTCAAACTCATTACTGAGCTTTAGCAGGTATTATATATGAGATGAGAGACATCTGGAAGTAGCTTTGAAGCAAACTTCTGTGAAAAGTAAGAATGTTCTGCCTACAGAAATTGAATATATGCACAGGTGCACTGTTCACTAGCCCAAGGACTCATGGGCACCTAATTAAATGCAGTGCCCATATTTGTTACTTAATTGTATCCTAAACCACAGCTAAGATCTTCCTTATTTAATTACATGAAATGTTTTATATGCCCAATTTATTGTGCTATTCAGGAAAAGTGCCAAAAATCAGGACCTGTATTTATAATTTAGTTGCTCACTGTAGTGAACAGACTTTAGATGAACAGCATGATTTTATTTTGCAGGATGACTGGGAGTTAACATATCTAATAGTTTTTTATAATTGCAATTTGTTTTTTCCTGCAAAACTTAGGCTCAGCCGAGCTCCCCTTGCTAGAAAACATCGAAGATACCTTAATGAAAACAATTGCCCTTTGCCAGAGAAATTCACACAATTTAGACCAGCAACAGCGAGAGGTAAGGTAATAAAAAAAAATGTGCCACTGAAATTAACAAAGGCCTCTGCGTCTCCTGAAACTTTCTCTTCACGTGCTTCTTCCTTTCCCCATGTTTTGGATACTGGTATGTCTCAAGCAGTCATTGTTTTCCTGTGCCTTGTGTTCTTCTGGCAGTGGTTCAGGTTTTAGACCCACAAGAGAGAAATACTCAGTTGCAAGGGTGAAGCACAAAATAAAGTGCATATCAGCAGTGGAGAAGCAGATTGAGACAACATCCTTTCCCCCATTTTTAGCTCCACTGTCAATCAGACACGAAATAAGGCATAGTAAGGTTTGAGCCAACTTTATGGTGGCACAAAGCTGATGCTCCTGTCACTGTGGCTGCAGAATATTGCTGTTCTGAATATGTTCACAAATCCTGGATTTAATGTCAACCTGGTCTTTGAGGGGTAGAGACAATACAGCTTGCTTGAGCTCTTGCAGAGAGAACTGGGTTTGTCTGTCTCCTTGTACCCATGTTGCATTTCCATTTTGCCAATGTCGGTGACATGGAAGGCATCTTTACTCTGAAGATTAAGCATAACCTGTGTAACTGAACTTAAAACTCAGAATGTTGTTCCTGTGTCTGCAGAGGTGGCATGTCTGGAGTCAAGAATTCTGTAGTTTCTTCTGAGCACTGTCCAGTGTATCAGACGACCTGCTCGGTTTCTTCTCTTAAATGATTTTATTGTGCAGCAGGTAGCTGCTGTGTTTTATTGAAGAGGTGTCTGCGTGCACACCATGACTGCTTATGGCCCAACTGGATAGACTGGAGTTACTGTTTGCTCTCACTCTGCGTCCTGTTCCACCTGCTGGAATTGCTTTGTTGATGCCCACATAAGATTTGACTCTGGTCACCAAATGAAGGACCAGCTTCCTCAGTAGAGTATTACGCGAATTTACACAACTCCTGTATAATGCCTGGAGAACTTAGATGGCCCTTTCCAATTGGGATCCATTTACTGTGCTACCTGTTATGTAAGCAGTCTCTGCACCAAAGCATTTGCATCTCACGTGGAGAAGTAGTTGGGGACTGAATGAAGTAAAAGTAGATTGTTTTCACAATTCTAGTAAAGAAACAGATGAGAAGAGTGAGCAACAGGAGCCAAAGGTCATCTGTGCTAAAACCTCAATCAAATACTCTCTTGGTCTAAGATTGAAACCTAGACTGAAAGCATATCCCTGAGTGCTTTGCTCTGAAGTTATTTTAACATGTTTCAGTTCCGTTCCGTTGCAGTCATGAGAAATGTAGTTCTATTCTTCAGAATGTGCAAGTGAGTCTCTGGAAATGGACTCTGACATTGGGTCACATCTCGTTTTTAGTACTGCCATGTTCTTACTGTTTTTTTCCCGCACATTCAATTATTCCAGGCCCTCTGGTTTCCCCTGTTGGAGGCGATGATGTCCCCACAGAAATTATCTGGTTCTTCACAGTGTCGATACTCCGAATGTAAGTCTTTTGGCTTTTTACCCCAAATATTTATCAAAATCTGTGTGCTGTCTCTCCTCCTGTACTAAATGAATAGAAGAAAAGCAGTTTTGTTACTCAATTTCTAAATGTTCTGTTCCTGCCGTCGAGCTGAACTGCACTGGCTGTAGGACTGAGCTCAGGCTTGGCGTTTGGTAGGCTGCAGCTGTCAGTCAGATACTTTTTTTTGTTTGGTTGGTTTTCTTAGTCCTGAGTGGAAGAAGAGGGGCCCTACCATAGCTTCTGCTAATAAATTGGTTCCATTAAGGATCCATTGAGGATGGTCTCTTTGAAAAAGCCAAGGTGCACAGCATGTACAAAGGCTTTCTAAGTTGTAAGCAGGTTCCACTTTACACTTTGGGAACTTCATCTTCCATGCCTAGCCTTTTTGTACACTTATCCCTGCACCTGTCTATGGTATATAAAATCAATAAAACTTGGATACACCAGCTCAATTCTCTACTCCGCTTCTAGTGCCCTGAACCTGTTGTGGGTGTCAACTGCACACCTTGAAAAGCCTCCCTTTATGGGAGACTTAAGACTAGTTAAAAAGGAACTTAAATACTGTGGTCTTGGGACAGAATAATGTCTTTTAGTCTGTTCCAGCCCTGTGCTCCACAGTGATTGTGGTTGTGCGTGGTTAAGGATCACAGCATATTACAAGTGTGGTGGTTACCATGCTGTCCATCCTCCCTCTATTTCTTTCCTTCCAGTGACCGTTAGCTGTATCTGGACTCATGGGGATAGTCTTGCAGAGATCAGTAACCCAGAAATAAAAATCACCCCTCTTCCCTCAACTTTTCTAAATTCAGAACGTCCCCTAGATTATCCATTTCTGGGAGCTAATGCCTGCAGAAAATTAATCATCTGAAGTGATACCAGAAAATGAGAGGATAAATACACTTGGATCCTGCATGACTATTTTGTTTTCATTCCTAATGTGCATACTTCCCAAACTACTCTAGCTAGGTAATTATCCCCACGAAGAAGCTGAATTGCTGGGTCTGTGCATATCTGAATATTGGCTCCTACTCTGGGGAATTAGGGATCTAGGAACAAGTTTCATGCCAAGGTTAATGCTAGGAACTTTAGAGTCTGTGGGACTGTACCATGGACAAGGCATCCAAATTGGGTTTGGGTAGCAGTAGGAAAAGTGAATGACACTGCTACAAAGTAAGTCTCAAAATGTGAACATTTACTGTAGGTAGGTTGTGGGAAGGGAACGGGGAAGCATCATGATATCAAAAACTTTTAAATACACTTTCTGATACAAAAAGCTATGTGTGCTTAGTGCAAAACATGCAGAAGAAAAAAAATAAAAGCTGTTTTCAAACTGGAAAACATGGATGGAAATAAAACTCTCTTAATCTGGAAGATTGATCTTTCTTTACTCCTTGAATCCTAATGAGCTACTGGTGGTTTTTATGTTTGATATTCCAGCTTTGAAGAGTTTGACAATGCAAGTGCTGAACAACATGGCTGCATTTATCGCTCTTCCTTCAATCCTGCAGAGAATTCTACAGGTGGGTTTCTGAAGAAAAGAAGTTTTTACCAAGCTGTGCCACTCAGTTATTGGGAAGAGGAATTTCCAGGTTGTTAAAGATCAGATTAGCTAATTGTCTGGTTCAGAGTATTTCAGTAAAAGTTCAGTTGGTGAGATATAAGTTGGTAAAGCTGATAAAGTGACCTGGAGACTTGATGCTCTGAGGAGACATGTGGGAACACACAAACCTGTGAGAAGATAATTGACGTAATTTCTGCAAACCAAACAAAATCTTATCTCAAAGGCTGCAATTAGTATGAACTGCAGCTTAACAGTTTTAGGCGCAAGGCCACTATGAATTTCTCAAAACTTGGAATTAAATTTGTTGAAAGCCATTTATCTAAGGCTCTAGGATGGACAGTTGTGAAAACACTAAAACAAAGTTTTTTGGCTTTGGAGAAGGAGATCACTACTGGGCAATTTTGACTGATGGTGCGATGTATTATTTTAGAGATGTTTGTTAGTGAGCAGCCAACATCTTGTGGCAGAGCTGATATCAAAATAGGAACTTGGGTTGAGTGATCACAAGTGGTATGATTTGTTAATTTGCAAGATAGATGAAAGATGAGGTTGGGATTTAATAGCAAACCTTGAGAAATAAAGAAGATTAGAGACATAGCCTGCATTGTGGTGTGGAATGATTGAAGGGTTGAGAAAGTGTTGAATTACTCTTCAGAGTTTCTATTCCAGACGAGAGAAGAAAATGTAGAAAAGGCCTTACAGGCTTCACAGGGTGAACATACAGCTCTAGCAGCCTAATTAGTTTGATCTTAATACTATGCACAATCTTGGATTCTGGAAAAAATCATAATTAAAGACAGTGAAAGATGTTATAAAAGAGTGGATAGGAAGCGTGATCAAATGAAATGTGGTTTTATCAAAGGTAGAAAGTGTTGAGCAAACCTAATGGCTCTTCAATAACGTATTTTGTCTTGTTTTAACTGTGGCATTAGATAGAGTTTCCTGTTGAGCTTTGTTTGATGTTTAATGTAGGCAGGAAATGATACAGAAATTGTTGAATGAGTAAGTGAGGAGGTTGACAGGGAGGCTCTCCTGGGTTATGTTGAGAATTACTGGAACAGTATGAGAGGCAAACCAGTGACCACTGAAGATAACACGGCCAGGAGGTGTTAACGGTGTGGAGGAAGATCCCATTCTCCCTTGGGATGAATAGAAATTCTTGTTTGCAGTCTTCAAATGTTTCATCCCATTTCTGTCCTTACAGAGTGACTCTTTTAGCAGAAATAGAAAACCCCTTTTCTAGAGGCTGGCATTTGCATCCTGGAGGCAACAGATGAATGAAATGTATTTGTCCATTGTACAGTGAAATGGTTGGTGTGATGGTGCTATTGCAGAGAATAATGGGATGCTTATGGTGCATCAGGTGAAGTACTTTTGCTAGGGACAGAAATGGGTAAGGCATTACTTAAAGCAGCATGTGCATCTCTAGTCAGTGAGTTTGGAGGTAGGGAGAACTTGCTCCTGCTCATCCCATATCCCTGGTCACCCTTACAAATTCAGTCTAACAAAACAGAGATTTTTAAAGGCAAATGTTATTGTACAGCTAGAGCAAAAAATGGGGAGGGATGATGGCTTCTTAAAATGCATTCAGAGAGAAGGACTAAATTCCACGTAAAGGTTATTAGTATCAGAACTTCATAAAACAGGAGCAGTAATTGGTGCCTTGTAGCTCAGAAACAGGTGTAAAGAAACTAGTGTCATAAAAGTCATTAGAAGGTCCAGTGGAAGGGAAGGTGGCATTTATTTACAGGATCTCTAAATAAGTTGACTTTGCCTCTTAACACTCATTCTTTTATAGATTTCATACACTCACTCACACTCACGTATTTGCAGACACCTAAGAAGTATGGGAATGAGTGATCTGACCTGGCTCGTTTTGGGCAGTAGAGAGACTGTCAGCCCCTCACTGCACCTACGGGGCTCCTCTGACTGATGATGACAGCCTGGGTTTGGACAGCTTAGTTATGTCCTTTCGAAGTTGTTGGCTGTTATAAAGTGGATTTTTGCCTCTGAATCTCACTTAAGATTCTGTAAATTATATGCCAGATCTCTGCACATTTTGTTTTCCCTTGTTTGGAACCTAGGTTTGAAATACATATTTGTAGTCTGCTGTCCTGTTGGGCTGACAGAAGAATCATATGTGATATTCTGCAAACTTGTCATCTTCCTCATGTTAGGACATGTAACTTGTCTCTTGTCTGTCCCGGGCTCTTCCCAGTCTGCTGCCTTCAGCACTTGACACCTTCCTCAGCTTTGCAACTTGGAACAGCATCCTTTGTTACCAAGACAGACCATTCATTTAACCCTTTGTTCTTGTGCTGAAAAGGATGCATTTCCATTCCCACTGTGTTCACACCAAGCTTTATTTCTGGGATTGCATTGCCCCAGTCACTTTTCCTTGTGTGTTTGTAGCTGTGTTGTATTAAACTCTTGCTTCAGGGCTTGCACTGGGTGCCTGTGGGAGTTTTTCTTTGGGCTTTATTTTGGTGCACAGCATGGCTCTTGGAAAAATGTTGCTTTGAATTCAGCTGGGAAGATGATGTTGGGAATGGTGATGAGTCTTACCATGTGGCCATGTCTTTGGCTGCCCAGCTCAAATATTGAGGGGTTCTGAACCCTTGCCATGTTTGGGATCAGGAAAGAAATTCCCCCTGTGTTAGACAGTAGGGAGCACTGGAATTTTTTCCCTCCCTGTGTAGTGTTGACTTGTCATCTGCTTCTTTGGATTATCTGGGAATGCTGTTTAAGTGCTCTGCAGGCAAGAGTAACAACATGGCACGCAGACATGGTGTTTCCCCACAACACTGTCTCAACAGCTTTCTCAACTAGAAAGATCTCTGGTTTTTTAGCCCTGGGTGGGTATTCCTTTGGCAAAGTTGTGTAGTTGCTCTTTGAAGCCATGTCAGATTCTAAACCCTGGTGCCAAATGGATCTGTCTTGGCTCAGAGCAGTATGTAGGGCCTCGTTTAAAATGTTATTCAAGTGCCACTTCAACTGTGACCATAAGTAAATTCTGAAACCAGCTCTTCTGGGCTCTGGAGAATATACAGCCTTTCCCAAGCCCTCAAAATATTTCTGTGAAACTCAGAATTGTAAGCTGTGCTTGTCTGAAAATACCCTCAAAAGCTGTTCCAACAGAGGTCAAGTCTTGGTGGTAGAGCATAGACATACTGGAGCTGCAGGTCTGGAAGGTAGAACAGCTGCTCAGGAATTAACAGGGGGATTTTTTGTAAGGTGGATGACATCAATAAACTGAGGTAGATTATCTTGCCTTTTCTGAAAAGGAATTAGAGTATTCCAATTTTAGTGGACTGTTTTTCTTCCTCTTCTGGGCTTAACTGCTTATAGATTATACCTTATGCAAATGTTAACTTTGCAACTAAAATGCTTTGCTAAAGGGCACCTTGCAAAGGGCTGTGACCAGTCTCCACAGCTTTCACAGAAAATAGGTAGGCTCCTGGCATCTGCCCATTGCAGCACATTGACTCAGCTTTATATAATTGAAGCCATATGAAATAATGATTAATATATTTATGTTCTTGCTCATACTTAATAATGTTATAAAGTTATTTATTAAATAGGAAGTCTGAAATAACTGTATTAGGAGAGATGCTAGAGGAATCCTCTTGAGCATTAAGAAGAATTCCATGTCATTAAGGATGTGAATGCTGTCTGAAGAGGGCTTGAAAGGTTGAGTGTTAATTCCCACACAAAGCTGTAATCCATCATGAATGTTTTGTAAGTAGATGCAGCTGATGCCTCCTATAAAATGGAGAACTGGAGAAGCCCGAAATGTAAAATCTACCTGTAGGAACCCCAGAATGGGGAAGGAAGGAAGCTCTAAAATGTGTGGAAACAAAAAGATCTAAAAAGCCTTTGCCTGAATCTTTTCAGTCCCTGCTTTTGGCCTTGCCTGTTTTTTTTTTTATTTTTTTCTTTCCAGTTCTGAAGGTCAACACTAGGATTAGTTTTATGTACAATAGTTGCTCTGTACCCTTGCAGATGGGACAAGCTGCAAGTGAATGTATTTTCTGAGTTGATAGTGCATTTATTAGTGTGGTTCTGTGAGTGCTGTTAGCAAAGAAAGTGCTATTTCCTGGAGCTGGGAAGAAACTGGAACTGGAGGAGACAGAACTGGCTGAAAGGCTGCACGAGCACCTCTGGCTTGCATCTGGATACCTGCCAGCTTTCCCTGATCTCTTTGCTGGTAGTGGCACTGAGCAGTGTGTTTGGCTTTGGCTTACCATGCTGAGTGTTGCCGTATCCCCAGGGAAATACTAGCCTGGAAACAGGAGCTGTGATCTGTTCCCAGCTTGGTGCAACTCACTGTTATTAATGTGCCATCCCGCACGGTGCATTTGGAGCGCGCGTAAATTCCAAACGGAGACAAATTTTATAAGGTGGAATTAATGAAACATATTCCTCCATAAAAGTAAGTGATCCCACAAGGCTCTTGTGACTGTAAATTTTGTGGAGGCTGAAACCAGCATTATAACTTGCTGGAAACATGAAATTATGGCTCTGGATTTCATGCTTAAGGCAGGCAGCTGCAGCCCAGGCCTTGAAGCACTGGCTTTAATGGCTGCTGGCAGGAAATGTTCATGAACTTCAGCGCTTGTACTTGACTGCCAGGCTCGGTGTAGCGCTTTGCTAGACCACATGGCTCCTCTTTGGAGAAAAGTCTGTTCTCTTCCTACCTGCCATTTTTTTAGAGATCATTTTTTTAGAGATCATCACTTGAGAAAACTGAGCAGCTGAAAGCTGGCCTTCAGACTCACATTCCTCCTCTGCAAAGCTGTAGGTGGCTCTTTTATTCCTCTCGCTTCGTATCTCCTCTTCCTCCTCTATCTATATTTCAAAACAAGTTGTTTTGAAAGTCTCTACTTGCATCTTGGAAAGTTTGAGTTGCTATGTGTAAATAATTGCATCTGTACAATTTGTGAGTTACCTGTTTAGTTTCCTTGGCTATAAACTTGAGTGCTTTAGAAAAATACCTGGTAGATACAAAAATAACCTGCTCTATGTTACAGATCATGTGCATGCTGTGTTGGAAGTCCCGAGTTCCCTGGTGCCCTCCATAATTCATATGGTGACTCAGTGTAATGTACTTTCTGTCCTGTTGCTTTTAAATTATGCATACAGAAAGGAAACTTAGTGTTGTCTGAGGCTGTACTGTTCACCTAGTAAAAAAGCAGCCTCTGCAGCGTGTCGAGCTCTTCTGTATATTCCAAACCTACAGCTGGTTTTGACTCAAGTGATATTACTCAGTGCTGTTTTTATTTAGGCTTGAACGTTGGCGTTTCTGCCTGTCACATTTCCTCTGAAGACTGGTGTTCAAAAATTTCCTGACTTCGTTTCCATAGCTGTTCTGGTGATCTCTCTGGGTGTTGTGCAGTCTAACTCCCATGCTACTTCAGTTGTCTTTGTCAACTTGTGTTTTCACTCTTGATTATCCTCTCTCCCTCGCTCTCAGTCCCAGCATGGAATCAGCCTTGCTCCTACCCCTTTTCTCATTCTTCTCATCCAGAGCTTGTTCATTCAGACCCTTGTGTTCCACTTTCTCCATAATTTTTTACTCTCTAGGTTAGTTTCCTTTTCACATCTTGCCAGTCTGTTTCTATTTTTCTCCCAGTGGCTTGCCCATTCCACCAGTCATCTTCTTGCAGCTTCTGCCAGGCTTTTCCCTGTATCCTTCCACTGCCTCCCAGCAGGGCAGAATGCCTTTTTCCAGCTTTTTCTAGTCTGATCTTGCTGCTGCTGCAAAGACAAGGAGGAGGAAGTTGTGTTCCTGGCCATGTTGCTTGTTGGTGGGGGACAGGGCACCTCTGCAACTGGATGGAGAGATCTTTCAGGGTCAATTCTGCCCAGGAGACACTAGTGCTGGTGGCTACTGCTGGCAAACTCTCACCATGCTGGTTGTTGGGCAGGGCTATATCCTGCATGGTTCATTGTACCCATGAGCAGGAGCCTGCTCTCTTGTGCAGCAGGGCCCAGCAGGAGGGAAGGGCATTGCAGGAGTCTCTCCCCTCTTCCAGTGCTGTGCCCAACTCTGCCTGTTTGAGAGACTGTGCACTGTCATGGAGAGCAGCTCCCAAAGGGCTCCTTGCTAAGCTTGCCCCAGAACAGGGAGATGTGTCCTAGACTAGAGTTCCTGTCCTGCACTGAGTGATGCTTCAGAGGGTGCCAGGGTGGCTGTGGGGGGAGAAGGGGGTGCTTGGTTTGGAGCTGACCTAAGGAAGGTGATTGAGATGCACCAGGGCAATGACTTGTACCCCAGCCCTTCGTTTGTGCTGCTGGGACCTAGAACTAAAGCTGCTTGAGGCACATGGAAATCATCCCTGCAGCAACAAGAGCCCTCATCGTTCCCTAGACGATGATCTGTCATCTGGGATGTGAGACCAGGATTGCCCGGGACCCCTGCACACAGCTGTGCAGCTGTACAACCCACTGGGTCTGTGCTCCTCCAGCCTGCAGCTGAGGGGGTGTTGAAGGAGCGTGGGGGTGACCTGTGGATGCGCGGAGACTCTGGAGTGAATTACCCTCTGACTCAGGCGAGAGCCCACTGGCCGTGTGGGGCCTGGGGCCCTGCGGGCAGCCCAGGAGCTTGCTGACCAGCAGACACCTGTAGCAGTTGGTATCAAGTGGCAGCAGAGATGGAGTTGATGCCTCCTGTGTCGCTGCAGGGTGTGTTCTGCTGTTTTCTTTGATATTCCTCAAGTGCATTCTCCAGTCAGCTCTTGCATCTCCTGAAGGAAGTTTCCAAGGTCACATCTGAAGTCTTTTGACCCGAGCACAGTGACTGGTATTGATGTTGCCATCTACTCAGTCTTGCTAATTACTAATTTTCCCATCAATACGTAGGATTTTTCTGCTGTCCTTGTGCACATGCAGCATCTTTTAATCTGCAGTCATAACTTCCATTTGCAATGGCAATCTGGAGGAAAACAAAATAAATAAAAGCTGGAATTGTCATATCCTGTGATTCAGCTGCAGCTTTTCATTCCTTCATACAGGATCCAGTTTATGGAAAAGGGAAACTTGGAGAAATTCAAGGACTTGTCCTGGGAATGCTGGACACTTTTAACTATGAACAAGTAAGTTGCATGCATTTCTGTTCTGTCCACTGCTGTCTACAGGAATTTTAGCTGTCAAGCCTGCTACTCTCTCTCATTTGCAGTTTCTCTCTGCAGGGCAAAGTAAATGGGCATGCAAAGGATTTATAGTCTTGGGACTGGGGGAAGGGGAATGAGTTTGTATTGCTCACAGATGGATTGAAAGTGAAGGGACTGACAGGTACATGGTGAGCACTTCTGTAGTTCAGTTTTATGTTAAATGTACTGGAAGGATAAACATCTGCTTTTTCTCCAGCTCATCCTGCAGTTAGGGATTCAAGGCACAAAACCAATATGCTTTGTCTTTTTATGTGGTTTTAAAGAAGAGCTTTTTAAATTAGGCTGTTTTGCCACTTCCCAATGGTAATGCTGCATTTCCTTTGTCAGCTAATGAGATTTCACCTTTATCTCACTCCTGCCTTCCTCTGTCATGTCTCAGATCCCAGGCAGTCTCCAAACATTTTTCTGAAACTCCTTTTCCCCAAAGCAGAATGCATAGTCTTCCTCCAAACTCACCCTCCCTTGTTCTGCCTACCATGTGGCACTACCGTGCCAGCTACTGCTCAGACCTCCATGCAGCCGCATCCAGTTTAAAAATAAAACGGGAAATAGCTTTACTGGAGAGGGCTGAACATAAAAACCATTATCTCTGTTTGGGTTCTTGGGAAGGGTCTGAGCAGCACAGGTCCTCTGTCATTGCCTGGCAGCCGTCTCGTACAGGCAGTGACAGGACTGGGCCAGATGTGAACCACTGGTGCAACCTCTGCAGCCTTTTGTAAGTTGCTGCTACAGAGCATCGATAGATCACAGACTAGAGTGCCTGTACCTGTTGGTACTGAAAGAACTAAGGGTATTTTGCTTTTAGCTCTTCAGCAATGGAAATCTCAGTTGGGCAGAACTAGCAGATGAGTAGTTCAGCATTTATTTTCATATTTTAACTGCATTAATGCATTTGGGCTTTGTGTTTGTGGGGTAGTTTTTTTGTTTGTTTTTGTTTTTGTTTGTTTTTGCAAATGACACCAAGCTTCTACTAAAATAGAGGATGTAAGCAGTAGCTTACCAGGTAGAGGGAGAAGAAAAAAAAAAAAGGAAGGTCTGGTATGGAAGATGACAAAATGAGCCTACCATATCTCTCTTAATGCTCTTTGACAAAAATCAATAAAGTACTAATCTATTTAGGAGTGGAAAGCTATTGCCTCCATTAACATGTGATAAAAGGGTAAGCATTTTGAGGGCAATGGCTAGAAAACATAGAGAAGCAATTCTGTTGGGTTGATTTTGCTCTTAACAAGCAGCTTAGCAGATTACTAGGAAGAATTGATCAGTATGGAGTTCCTGCAGTCTGGAGATGACAAAATGACCTAGTTATTCTGTCTATTGTCTTTGACACAGACCCTTTTAGAGACAACTACAAATCTTTTAAACCACGATCTCCACTGGTCCCTGTGTAACCTAAGAGCTTCTGTCACTAGAGGGCTTACCCCAAAGCAGGATTACTGCTGCATTTGTCTACAGCAGTACAAAAGAAGACAAGAAACTGCTGATGAAATAATTGTTTTCAGGTAAAGTTAAGGGGCATGTCTGAGTTCATGTTAGTAGTTTTAAAAGAAAAGAAGGAAGAAGAAAGAGCTACTGGTGTCTGACTTACACAAGTAATCAGATGTCTTCCTGTGAGCACGTGTCCCTGCTCCCTTGTGCTGTAAATGGGCTGGCTAATCAGGCCCATCAGAGCCAGCTGCCTTTGCTTGCAGCCAGCTCTGTCTTGGCTGAAAATTGTGTGACAGGTCTGAGAGAACTGTTCAGTTTTTCTGTCATCTCTCTCAGCAATGCAGTTTGTGCCACTGCAGTACCCTGGGTTTATTTGCCTGTATTTGTACATCTCGGATCTATTGTGGCCCTGGCTACGTACTCTGTTGGCATCTCTGCTTTTCCTATCTGTGACTAGGGGCTATAAAATAAGACCAGATCATTATTACCTTAGTATTATGATCTGTAACTGCATCAGCAGATGGCATCTACTGTTATTTTTGCAAGTCTTAGAAATACTACAGGAGGGTGTGGAGGTACACAGGGAGCACATACACTGCTGACCTGTATTTATGGCTAAGCAGCCTTGTTTTCCATGGAGCAGAGATTTCCCCTCCAAAGTGTAGAGCTGTCAGGCTGTGTTATCCTGCTTTCAACCACCTGCCAGAGTTCTCTTCTCTTTACAGCTGTGGCCACTTGTACCATTCGCTGTGTCTGCTGAGTAAAGAGTGTGGGACAGTAACCAAAGGCCTGATGAGGTGGATGTGCTATAAATGCAACTCAAGTAACAAGGGAGGAAAACTGAGCGAGAACTTCTCAGAGCTCAAAAAAGGAAGTGGAGCATCCTTGGCACAGGTAATGTTTGTGAGGCGGTTTCTCTTCAAGTAAACTTTGAGCAGTGCTTCTAGACTTCACTGTGTTCTCATGTCTGTCTTTGCTTCCAGACAGGCCTGTGATCAGTAACTGGCAAACAGTATCTGCAGCTAACTAGTCACGTTTATGAATGTCATTTTGTTTTGGCGTGGGTATACAGAGCCGTGCAAGAAATGGAAATGTGCTCATGCAGAAGGTTTGGGAACTGCTAGCCAGCGTGAGGGGAAACTGGATGCCTGCAGCTGATTGCCTCCTAGATGCATCCACTTCTTCCTCTTGTTTGGGAGAGCCTGGGATGGGCCACTGGGGACAGTTCCTTTCAAACTATTTTTAGATGTGTTTTATATAAAACTTGTATTAAAAGCTAGCATGTTCCTTGTGGCTGGATCGTGGAGCCTCCATTCTATCTTCCTAACGGGTAACCTGGCTCTGGGTAGAAGATCTGGAATTGATTGGACTTGTTAAGTGCTCACACAATGTTTTAAGAAGCTTGTGTGTAAAAAAAACATGGACCAGTTAGAACTAGTCCAGAGAAGGGCCACCAGGATGATCCGAGGGCTGGAGCACCTCTCCTATGAAGACAGGCTTGAGAGAGTTGGGGCTGTTCAGCCTGGAGAAGAGAAGGCTCCAGGGAGATCTTATAGCGGCCTTCCAGTACCTGAAGGGGGCCGACAAGAAATCTGGGGAAGGACTTTTCCTAAGGACAACTAATGACAAAACAAGGGGAAATGGGTTTAAACTGAAGGAAGGGAGGTTTAGATTAGATATTAGGAAGAAGTTTTTCACTGTGAGGGTGGTCAGACACTGGAACAGGTTGCCCAAGGAAGTTGTTGATGCCCCCTCCCTGGAAGTGTTGAAGGCCAGGTTGGATGAGGCTTTGAGCAACCTGGTCTAGTGGAAGGTGTCCCTGCTGATGGCAGGGGGATTGGAACTGGATGATCTTTGAGGTCCCTTCCAATCCAAACCATTCTATGATTCTATGAAAAACCAATTCAGCTGGATTTGGATGAGAGAATGGATAATTAGCTTGTATTTATTGTCAGTATTTGTGTGCAAGAAGTTTCACCATCCCCAATTCAAACAGAAGTCCAGTCTCAAGATGCACGCTTCTGTCTTTTCCCTGGCATGGTGCTGTGGAGTGTAAGCAAAGAACGGCAGGTAGCTTGTTGGGTTGTCTTTTAGGGATGTTGCACTGGGGGCAGCTGAACTCCAACACCCGCTGTTCCAGTGAAGGTGGTTGCTGATGAAGGTTTGTTCCTAAATGCCTCAAGGTACTTTGTGCCTTTGTCACCACACAGATGCATGCAAAGCGGCATTTTTCCACTTCTGAAACCAAAGTAATTCAAACTTGGAGTACATTTTTATAGTAGTACTTTAGTTTTCTTCTAGCAGATTATTTCCATTTCTGCCAAATCAGTTCCAATCAAAAGATAGCTAACAGCATTAGTCAACTTCCATCAGTGTCTGTATTAACAAAAACAGAAGCTTCCTGCTTGAAGGGAGACTTGGGGGCAAAGTAATCCCTGAGGAATGTATGGAGTACCATGCCATCTTTCAGACAAATTCTGTTAGTTTCTTATATGGTGACAGAAAGAAAAGCTTTCCTGGGAGATGGTAAATCAACTGTGGCCCGAACAGTCTGCTTACAAATGCTCGTCACTTCGTGTACTGTCCTGCTACAGTGAAATATGGATACTGGCTTTAAAGCTAGGCAGATTCAGCAGCCACATATATTACCCTCTACACTTCTGCTCCAAAGGAATGTGTGCAAATAGATGTGACAGACCAGGTTTAACTTCAAAAGCTAAAGGTAAAATTAAGTACTAAAACTACATTCTTCATTAAAGTGCTTGGCATTTTATACTGGGGCCTTGTAACTTGGTTATCACTGTATTTAGAATCATAGAATGGTTTGGGTTGGAAGGGACCTTAAAGCTCATCCAGTTCCAACCCCCCTGCCATCAACAGGGATACCTTCCACTAGACCAGCTTGCTCAAAGCTTCATCCAACCTGGCCTTGAACACTTCCAGGGAGGAGCAGCCACAGCTTCTCTGGGCAACCTGTTCCAGTGTCTGACCACCCTCACAGGAAAGAATTTCTTCCTAATATCTAATCTAATTTCTCATGGGATAGTCAGTCAGAGAACCCCTGTGACTCCTCTTTAATACAAGACTGGATATACCCCGAAGCAGGATGAAGCGGAAAATGCTCTGGATGACATGGGAATGATCAAGGCAGGGGGGAGAAGATGCTTCCCTTCATTTAACTGATCTGGCTGTAAAAGTGAGGGGCTGGCTGGGACTCAGGGCTTAAAGGGAGACATGGAGAGACTGGGTGGGGAAGAAGAAGGGTTACAGCATAGATCATATAGCACTAGCTAGGAAATGTCCATGCCAGACCATCTGAGAGTGCTGGATGCTTCCCTGATGTCTCAGTCATGTGCTCTTGGCAAAAGCCCATCGCTTCCTGCTCCACACAGCCGGCCCAGCAGAGCTTGGCTCTATCAGAGCTTGGCTCTGGATCCTCAGAGCCCCAGCACAGCTTTGAGCCCCACCACCTCCTCCTCCTGTCCCAGATCCTCTCCAAGTTTGTGATGTGCCTCATATATTTAAATTGTAATATTTAACTGTTGTACTCGCATGTGATTAAACTGTTACGCAGTCAGATCTTTAAAAAGCTGTAGATATTAAGACTTGGCAAAAGACTGTAAAATCTCTAGCTTCTCCAGGAAGTTTGTTTGCTTATCAATTACCCCTCAGTAGGGTTAATTAACCCTGTGAGGTAACGATTCATCTGGCCAAGCAGTAGTCTGAGTTACAGAACAGCCTTTTCTTCTGGGGGAAGTGCTGGAAATGGGAAGTGGAAGAGATGGAGGAGATGGATGTGTGTATTGGAGCTGAAAGCAGGAGGGCAAGGAGGGTTACCTGGAGCACAGAAACGCTTGCTGGAGGCAGGCTGGGGCATGCTGGTATGGCAGGGTTTGATCTCGTGCAGCCTCAAGTAAATTTAAGCAGAGAATTAAGCAGGAAAATAGCTAAACTCCCCACACTGATTTTGACATGACACTGGTCTGTGCAGAATTGAGGTCTGTTGGAAAGGTGCGTTTTCTACAGTAACCAGGTGCATGCTGCACGATGCTGGAGAAGAGGAGGTGTGGGCAAGCAAAAGGACTGAAGGGAAGGAGAGACTTGCGGGGCTCTCCCCACCCTGAGCCACACTGATGTGTTCCCAAGGGTCCTTCTCAGCCTGGGCCCAAGATACCAGTGGCTGTGGGTCCCTGGTGCCACCTCAGGCACGGAACTGATTTATTTCTGTTTGTCACGAGGTTTGTTCAGCCTTTTGATGCTGCAGTTATCTGGTGAAGGGCTTCTCTGCGTTCCCTCTCAACTCCGCTGCCACCGGGCAGACCCAGAGGTCTGTGTTGGTCAGGCTGCTCTTGCTTCCACAGCTGGTGTTTCTGCAAATGGAGAACAGGAACTCCCAGAGGGAGGTCATGCTAACACAGCTGGAGAGCCAGCTCCAAGATGTCTGGGACCTTTTGCATATAGATCCGTGGGGAGGGAATTTCTTTGTAACCCCTTTGAAGACCCTGAAAGCTTATTCTGTCTCTTGGCAAAATCTAATGTGGTTTTTTTTTTCTTCCATAGTCAAATTTTTTTCCATAGTGAAATCTTCAGTTTAGGTATTTATTTTCTTAGCAAGCCTTGCATTAGGAATAGATTCATACTGAGAAATGCCACTGAGCATCTGGAGTGCATTTCATAGTAACAATTCAGCTCTGTTGAAACAAAGACTGTCAGTTTGAATTTTGTAATGTTGTTGAGATTTATATGTGAAATGACAGCCCAACAGACAGTGTTTTCTCTGTCCCTGCTTTGCATGCATGACTCCTGTAGCAATTGCCTTGAAATTGGAGGAGGTGGAGAGCTGCCACAAGCCAGCGCTGAACCGTTACTGCATCTGGTGATAGTACTTCTTTAAATGCAGCCTTGCTGTGATGAGGGCTTGGGACATTCTGCCCCAGCGAAGGGGAACCGCGAGAGAAGGGCAAAGGGGCTTTTCCTCTAGTTTTGCTACCAAAAGTTTGTGCTTTCTGTGTTATCCCTAAACCTTGCTGTCTTCCCAAGGGTCATCTTCTGTGTCTAAACAGATCATCTTTCTTGTGCTCCTTACCTTATATCGTATCATAAATGAGTGTTAAAAGAAACTAAAGCTTCTGTGTTTGTGGTGTTTTTTTAATCCAATTTAAAATGTGCAGTGCTTTTTTGCATTGTGGTGTTTCAAGTTGAGGCATATTAGGTGAAAGCACAGTAGCTGGGCTACTGCCTAAATACATAAGTGAAATAGTCCTGATAACTTAGTCATTGATCTCCAAAACTAATTTGCCTTGTTACAGTGAGCTCGTTCATGTTTTCTGTTTATTCTGCCAGCCTACATGCTAGGGATCAGGGAGAGGAACAGAGTCTTGGCTCTTGGGCCGTAAGCTCTGCAGAAACCACCATGAACCCCTAAGCTGACATGCTCTGGTTAGTCCATGTTGGAGAACGTGTGAGTTCTAAGGGCACCGTTGTTAGAGCTGTCCAGATGGCAAATATGTTTTATTCAGGAGTTTAATCCTGTCAAGTCACGCCAGGACGGACAATGAATGTGATCCGTAGTTAATCCAGTTTGTCAGACTCTGCCTTTGAGCTCTGTTCTGCAGCCTGCCTCCAGTGTCCCTCTTTGCAACACGCCCTTCCATCCGACTCGGAGCTTCTTGCCCGACTTCCACCTGTGAGGCGTTGAGACCATCACTGAGATGTTAAATGTCCCTCTCAGACATGTCTATGTGCCTTCTATTGGCTAAGACTTAAGGTTTAGGACATTTTTCTGCCAATACTTATTTTACAGCTAAACAAATGTTACATGACCTCCATCAATCAGTAGACAGAGGCAGTTTTACTGTTTTCAGTGTAACGGTGACCATCAGTTATCAGTTGAC